AAAAGAACAAGTTAAAAGTTGATAATTGTGGTTAAGCTTGTTTATCTCTTTTTTTGGGAAAAACAAACAAAAGAAAAGTTGGAAATTTTGGAGGCAGAAACTGTAGCTGCTCTCAACAGCACGAAAACCCTGCTGAGGTTGCAAATGGATGAAGTGTCCCAACTAAACTCAACAACCAGAGGACTTCAAGTCAAACTTGAAGCCCAGCTGAATGTAACCGAAGTGGAGATTAACCATAAATTGGATACAATTCAAAGCGAATTTAAAGGTAATGAAAAAAAAATCATGATTACCTAATATCTATAGTTTATTCTGCTCATACATAACATAAACCGGTTTAAGTTTGATTAATATAGCTACTTACCGCTTCTATTTGTGCTTTTTAAAAAAATATTATCAATGTTTTCTTTAAGCTTATTTTTTTTAAATGGCATATCTTTAAAACCAAAACTACAACAAAAGCACAAAAATTGTCTGTAACATTTCCTTTACTTCCTCCAGTGCGGAATAAAGTTGCTTTTTCAGCAAGCATCGCATCTTCTCATTCGTTCATTGGACATGTCTCTTTTCATACAAGGAAAATTGTAAAATTTGACAAAGTCTTTACAAATATTGGAAACGCCTACGACAAAAAGACAGGTATGATCCATCGTATAAATCCTTCCACTCACTAAATCAGTTTAAAGTCCCGTTAATATTTGCTACGACAGAAGTTGATTGTTTTGAGGCAGCATTGAACAGAATGTCTCCAGATCACTTAAGCATAAAAAAAATCATCTTCTCTTTCACAGGCATCTTCACAGCTCCAGTTAAAGGTGTTTATCTGTTCAGCTTCATGACTTTTGGTTACAACATTTACACGTCGGGAGCTATCCTGGTGAAGAACGGGAAATACCAAGTGAGCACCTGGGAGTCAAAAGGATCAGACACCAGCGACACAACGAGCAACTCAGTAATCCTTGAAATGAACGCTGGAGACTGTGCCAATATCATTCTGTGGAGAGGTGGTAAAATATATACCAGTGTCTTCAGTGGATTCCTAATATTCCCATTAGTCTAAGTTTTACAAAAACATTTGACATTAGCTTCCCTTTTTGGTCTTTTTTAATTCCTTTATTGTAGGTGTAGGGGATTAACGCTCTATTAATAGGGTGACCTAGTATAGAGCTGGGGCGTTACTATTTTAAAGAATTCAGGAAAATGCAACATTGAAAGCTTATAAGATTTTATTCTATTTTATGCCACAAAGTAGGCTTAAAGGTGCTGCAGGAGATCTTGAAAGACGGTTCCAGCAAGCTATATTTTTGAACATACACAACCATGCCTCTCCCTTCAGACCATCCCTCCAAAGCATGCCTTCAAAAAAAAAAAAAAAAAAAACGCGCATGCTGACTGCAGCGTGTCTAGAGCAGCAGGACCAGCGTATCAGAGCAGCTGAAGCAGCGGATCTGGGAGCTTGCAGGGAGACAGGCAGCACTGATGATCCTTAGCGCTATGACTACTCCTCTGAAACAGTTAATTAACACCTAAATTAACTTAAAATGGTGTGCAAAACATGTTCTCATTTATTATCCTGGTGCCTGCAGTTTGGATGACATACATGAAAAATGGCTTCCAGCCGCCGCGTCAAGCAGCGAAGAGGCGACCGGGCTGTTGAATGGGATTCCTAGTGACAGTGCACCGCCGGAGTAAGGGGGTCTGAGCGGCTTTGACAGAAATAAAATTTGAAGGCAGGATGGAAATCTAGATGAACTGACTGCACTGAAGATGTTTTCAGGTGGACTTTCTCACTTCAAAATAGATTCAAATTACTTTTTACCTGCTGATCACAGCAAATATAGCTGCCATTGGTACAGGCAAGGGAAGGATAGGGTAGCTCCGTCCAACGTGCATCAGACCCACTTTTTCTACCACGCAGCTGGGGCAGCAGAGATGCTTCAGCCGCGCATCAGAACTAAACTTGT